TTTTGTTTATTGTTACTTCACTTTGAATTTGACATAAAAACCTATTCAAGTGTTTTCATACTCATCTGCTGAGGAGGGAAAGTTTCTGTTAACCTTAAATCTGAGTTTTAACACGTATGAGCAATGTATGCACACTGAGAATGGACTGTTCAGTAAAGCCGGAGACATCTTGTGTCTGACAGTTAAATGTGAAATGAAAAATATTTGCATATTCAAAGATTTAATACAGGAGGAATAGATGTAGTTTTAAGAATGTTTAATGAGGTAATAGATGTTTTTTGTCAGGCACAAATTTCAAAGAAGAGTATTTATGTCTTAAATGTTCTAAAAACTGTTTCGTTATCTTCTGGAAGTTTGTTTCAGCTATGTGGTGATTGTATGCTGCTTTTCCATGTTTAGTTTGGACTAAGAGGACAAGAGGTTTAACGTTTAATGGTAAAAAATTTATGACTATTCTATTCTACTTTGGCAACATCATTATGAATTAGTTTCCTGACACATTTTATGGGCAATATCTGAGAAAAGACCAATTCATTGGTCTGACCTTGATGAAATAAAAGCGTCGGCAAGGGTTTATGATGCCAGGACGTGAATTCTCTGACAAATAAAGGATCAAGTTTCACACAAAAAACTAAAGAAGAATGGGGAATTACAAACACAATGAGTAGAGTGGACAGAGAGATATTATCCATAAAGCAGGCGCAAGTGAGCTGTGAAAGAACAATAATAAACTAAAGGAAGTTATTATGTGGAGAATAGAGAGTGAGTGCATCACTTTATCTTCATTCACCTCAAATATGAGAATACAGAGACAAAAACAAAGCTAGGTCACGGTTATAAATTCTACCATTACATTATAATCTATAACTCTGAGCTAGGTCAGCTAAAAGAAGCATCACTGGACTCATTTTTTCTCTCTCGTCTGCGGACATTGCCAAAGCCTGGAATTCACTTCAACATCCAGAGCATTCATAGATGTGCCCGTCCCTCGAGAAGCTAAAACTGTGCTACGAACACATTTATCAAATCCATATTTCATAAAAACACGACAGTCGTCACTCATATACATTCATATACTGTAGTGACGTTTGACACGGAGAAAACTTTTAGGAGAAACCAAGAGAGCAACAGATGTGAGGATGAGACAGGAACATCAGACAGACAGTGTTGCGTAAAGGATGAGATGGTGATAATTTTTTATTTCTTTTGTTGCCAAGAGCAACAATTAGTTAATCCTACTAATATTGTATTTCCTGTGTAGCCAAAGCCAGATAGAGATTATCCCTCTGTGTCGCAGTCCTCCATTACTGTAGGTTATTGTTCAAAATCTACTAAAAACATGCCAATGACCCACACAGCTGCACTTTTATTTCAACATTATTTTCACCACCAGTTATCTGCCAATAAAATATTGTCAGTAAACAGTTTAATGATATGTTCAGTATCAACATTTATGCAGTTTGCCAGACATGTTAAATACAGTAACAACATTTCTCCCTTGTGCATGCCTCAATTTATGTGTTTGGGCACCGTTTCTCAACTGCACATATTGTTGGATCATTTTTGGTCTGGTGGATAGCGAGTGCAAAAATCCATTCAATCCAGTAGGGATGATGTTATTTTCTCCAAACTGCTCGGGTACAGGAAATGTGGAGAGGAGTGTAATAAAACTGAATCACCAATTCTCTGACACATTTCCACCAAAACTAAACATTATGAGGTTCAAACATTAAGTATATTGCATGGTTTGTCCTTCTACTTGAAAGCTATACTCAATATATTTTAAAAGCAATTGGATGATCACCATAATCTGCAGCTCGCCTCAGCTTTACAGAGAGTTTCAGCTCATTATTTAGATGTCTGACCTCCAACTTCACTGTTTTGGCTCAGCTTCACCTCAGCAAGAAAAAATGAAATCGATCAATTTTCTAGAGCTCAAGGCGATCCCATCAATAGCTTGTTTTATTTTCACCACAATTTCAAAACCCAAACATATTCAATTTTCTATCTTGTAAAACTTGAAAAAGCATTAAAATCTCTCATTTGAGTGGATGGAACTTTAATTACTTTGCCGATTAATTTTCTGTCATTTGTCGAATTGATTAATCCACTAATTGTTGCAACTCTAGTGACATGTTCCTTTGTTCCTACAATGAATGGCCATTGATGTACATTTTGAGTAAATCCTCACTCAATCCTCACAATTACTGTTTTTATCTGCTGCAGAAAATAGCAATTTACTATTTAGCACCAATTAGTGTTTGGTCAACACAAGAATAAAATTATATTTTGTGACCAGTTTGAAAGGCTTACATCTTGAGTAGGATCCAACAGGCTTGGGGCTGAGTGCTACTGACAGAAAGTCAGAAAGTATTCAAAGAGGGATTAACACATCGCCGGTTTTGGTCATGGGATTTATTGACAAAAGGAAAAATATAGAACAGAACAGACTTATCCTTTAAGGCTGAATTGTGTTTCACTTCTAAATCTTCAGTCTGAATGTTTGACTTGTGGAAAGTTTCACAAAGCTTTAAAAATGAAAGAAGGCATCAAAAGTACTTCTAAAAATCAAAGAAATGTATAAAATATGACAACAATCTCAGATACACAGACGTAGACGCAGAGAAGTCATCCTCTGAATATTTTCGTTGTCTGAATGACCTTGCTACTATATAGAAATAATAAACAGTAAATTGCAGCAGTCTTTCTGGTGCAGGATTCAGGTCACGGGGGGGGGGATGCTGAGTCTCCCGAGGGAGGTGGGGGCACAATTGTGTGCATGATGGGACGAGTACCCCAGCAGCCAGGCCACCTGGTGGATGGCGAGTTGCCAACAGAGAAAGTACACATGCACATGGAGAGCACATACAAACACAGTCATGTGTACACAAACCCGTCATACAGTGGACACCAAGTTAAAAAACATATTTAAAAGATAAATCCATCTATGTTCTTCACTGAATGTATTATTTTATTCCAGTTCATTGGATCTCTCTCTCTCTCTCCCTCTCTCCCTCTCTCCCCCTCCCTCTCCCTAAAGCCACATACTTCCGTGTGCATCTTGGCTCGCACTAACATCCGCAGGCTCAGTAGCATTCACAGATGTCTTCTCCTGATCCCATAATAAAAAATGATCACACCCAATGCCAGACATTTCCCCCCCCCCCACCTCTGCTAGTCCTGCATTGCATCACCTTAAGCCAACTGGCTGTAATCAGGAATAATTCTAAACATACAGGAGATTTTTCACCTCTAAAAGATTTTATACAAAAGGCACTGAATGCAAACACCACATGTGACATAATACATAAATGCCAGTCCTTGGGGCAATCTGAGTAACGTCAACTATAAAAGCGCTGAAAGATTCACTCTGTGAGTCAAAATAAACACAGTGAGGCAGTACATGTTTTTAGCTCTCAATCACGACCAGTAGCAGAGCCTTTGGCAGCATGTGTAGGCTGCCTTGTTCAAAAGCTGCGGCTCCAGTTACTGATCAGAACACACACTCTCGTAGTCCATCACCCACAGAGATGATGTTCCCACACAGCTACATAAGAGGAAAACACTAAAACTCCCACTCCCACCAAAATCTGAAGCTCCTCTCCTTACACATTACTTAACAGGACAACAGCAGAACCCGTCCAGCCTGAGCGTCTAAAGACAAGTCTAAAAATACAAACACCTTTTGATCTATGACACACAGCACACAGACAGCGAGCACACAAATCACTCTGGCTGGCTCCTGATCTGAGAGTGATTGTTTTAAATGGCTTCCATTACAGCGAGCGAGTGAGGCTGGGCTGATATAGTGTAGCTTTCACCTATGGTGCAATCTATCGCGCTTTAATCAGATCACTAGTCACAAGGGCAAAGAGGCAAAGAGACGGATCCTGGAGAACAGCCACATTGGATCGCTTGTGCAAGCACATGTGAAATCAAAGGCTCTGCCTTTCTCTCTTTTTTAATTTTCTCATTTTTACTGAGTTGTTGCTGAAGTGTTTTTAGACTTTATGTACTGCTTTTTGTGTCTAAAAGGCTCAGTTCAACCAAATCTGGGGATGCAACTAACAATTACTTTCATTAACAGCTGGACTGATCTTTTTCCTCAGCTAATCTATTATTATCTGATTCATTAAGCGTTTTTGTTAAGGTTGTGCACCCTTAAGGCAAGTTTAAACAGCTGCAACTGCAACTACATGTCCAATAATTTGGGGGAGGTAAACAGGAAGTATAATGTTGCCATGGATTCAGTGAGCTACACTGTGTGCTTTAGCCTATTTTTGTTTATTTCTTGGCAAATTGGCACCATTGAAAGAATGCCGAATTAGCTATTAGCAGTTGCTGCTTGCAATGAACCCATGGATTTACACACAACTATCACTGTATTACTTACTAAAGAAGATATTTTGTTTACTATCATAGTCGACTAAGAAAACCAGTAAATTATCATTTTCAAGAAGATTACTATTTTTGCTAAAAAGAGTGACAAATCAGTCTATTTTCAAATAATAGCTATATCTAGCCAGGCAGATCATTTACTTAGGTTCTAAGATATGCATCTCTAAGTTTCATCCAACACATACAATGCAGACAAGGGGAATTTCTATTATGATGTGCACAGCGTTGAAAAATGACATTGCAATGTCTTTCCAAAAAACAGTGTCCTTCTTACTGTTCATAATCCCCAGACATGAGTGTGAAGAGTTTGTATATGAACTATTTCCACAGCAGAAATTTGCTCTAAGGTTGAATTTTGTGTGAACTGATTCTTTAGGAAACGCATTGCTGCTCTATTTACTTGCAAAAAGCATTTGGTTGCAAAACATACATAAATGAAGGTTTAAATTAAGTACAAATATGAACGAACACACACACACCTTTCACTATTATTGTTGACTACATAGTCTGAAGTAGAGCTTTCTTCTGGTGCCATTCCCTTATCTGCAGTCATCTGGGAAGACTAGACATAAAATAATCTGACAGTTCAAATCAGAGTCCTGCTCACACAAACAAAAACACACACACACACAAACACACACACACACAGAGATGTGTACATGGTGGGCCACTGGCAGCCAGCAGAGGGGGCTGTCTTTGTCTGACATTGAGACAGCCCTTGTTGGCTGGAGGTCATCGCTCAGATCAGTCACATTTAATAGTGTTTACATCCTCTCCCACTCCCTTGTGTCAGGTCTCTGCTGTACTTTAAGAAGTCAGTGTTTTCTCACAACTTTCACACTTACTGGAGCCCCAGTCTACTACACAACAACCACACACACACACACACACCACACACACACACACACACACACACACACGATCGACTTTGTGAGAACTGAACGCCTCTTTGGTCTGACCTTCACAGCATGACGGAGCACTACACTGCCTGCATGCTTTGTTCCTGCTGAAGATTTAGGGCTTGTTACATGATCATCACTTACAGTGGCACTTTGCACAGGGGTCTTTCTCATACTCCAGCAGATCTGCAGCACGACTACGAACGCTGGTGCTCCTCCTCAGTCCTCCACCATCCCGCACTCCTCCATCCCGTAGGCGGGCCGCTTCCTCCTTGGCATACACACCCAGCTCCTGGGTGTACCGCCCATACATCTGCGTATATGAAAGACAGAAGAAGACAGCTTTTATACAGGTGGTGCAAGTGGGAGGCAGAGAAAGAAATGTCAGTGTGATGCAGCAGGTTTTTAGTAGGGTCACAATAAAGATAGTCAGCTTCTGTGAACACACTGAGGTTCAAACTCTGAGTAAACAGAGCCAGGTGTCAGAAAATTCACTGCCTGCAACTCACAGCTCCTCACTACACAGCTTTTTTTAGAAAAAAAAAAATTCCCTCAGCCTTGACTCAACGCTCTTGTAATGACTTCTTCTCTTCAGACAGATGAACAGACGATAAGCTCCACCTGTCGGCTCCCAGCTGATTAACTCTGCAGGGCTGCCACACAATTGACTCCTAACGATGAGAGGCGGAGTTCTTTGCAAACTACACATAATCAATCACGTATAAAGCCTGAATCTGAGCCATAGGTGTTCTTGTTGCAGTTTTAGCTGGTGTGTAGTTACGAATACCATAATGGAGCTTTTCAAGTGTCTGTTTGGTGTTGTGGTAGTTGTTTTGGCTTGTGATGTTACTGCCCAACCTCACTGGGCGCTGCCTCTGCAGAAACAGCAACCTCTTCTTCCTCCTCAGCAGTCAAAGGTCCCTCCACCTGCAGCTCCCTTTGATAAATGTCAGGTGGAGCAGAGTGAGAAGATCCAGTGTGGGACTCGAGATATCACCACTGAACAGTGTGAAAAAATAAACTGCTGCTTTGATGGGTGGCAGTGCTACTACGGGAAAGCAGGTATCTGTGCTCTCTAGAGTAGTTTCTAGTGCTCCTCATGCAAATGCTATTGTAAAATATCTCAACTACAACACAGAAATTCATCCTTCTATTCTTCTCTCATCCAGTGACTGTGCAGTGTACCAGAGATGGCCAGTTTGTGGTGGTTGTGGCTCGAGATGCCACTGTGCCACACATAGATGTGGATTCAGTCAGCCTGCTGGAAACAAACGATCCCTCTTGTACCCCTGTTGACTTCACCTCTGCTTTTGCCATCTTTCAGTTCCCTGTGACTGCGTGTGGCACTATAATCAAGGTGGTTGGTGCAGTCTTTGCTTTAGCCATTATGTGAGAACTTGAACATTGTTGAAGTCTGTAACTAAATAATTCATACCAAATTGAGATCTACCCAGCATGAATTTTTCAACTGTAAGATGACTTCTTGAACAGTCCAAAACTTAAAGAATTAAATTTAAAATGATGTAAACCTGGAAAATCTCTGCCATGTTTTTGTTTCATAAATGACAACATTTAATTTTTTTCCTATTCATCAATTAATTTGAGCAGAAAGAAGAGGTTTATGTGGTGTACGAGAACCACATGTCTTCCTCATACGAAGTGGGAATTGGACCCAGAGGAGCAATCACCAGGGACAGCCATTTTGAGTGAGTTTGTGTAAAATCAATCTCCCTGATTGCTTTTGTGACCCACTGATGTTTCCTGAGATAAATCCCTCTACTCTCTTCCCAACAGGTTATTGTTCCAGTGTCGATATTCTGGCACAGCTGTCGAGGCTCTGGTCATGGAGGTGAACGATGTTCCTCCACCTGTGCCGGTCGCTGCTGCAGGATTCCTCAGAGTGGGGCTGAAACTGGGCAACGGACAGTGTCACTCAAAGGGATGTGTGGAAGGTGAGCGGCGCAGGAGCCTTATACTGATACTAGCTAGTGCAGAATCTCTGGGTGTGTACTAAAATCACTATTTTGATTGCAGAAGAGGCAGCATTTGACTCCTTCTACACTCAAGAAGAGTACCCAATCACTAAAATGCTGAGGGAACCAGTCTATGTCCAGGTGAACATCCTGGAGAGGTCTGATCCAAACATCGTCCTGAACCTGGAGCACTGCTGGGCCACTTCCACCCCTAATCCTAACAGTCTGCCACAGTGGGATATTCTGGTTGATGGGTATATAAAAAATATTAGTCACTTGATTGTGTAAAATTTAGTTTGTGTCGTGTTAAAACATAAGTTCTTTTGCCGGTTGCAGGTGTTCCTACCATGATGACCGTTACTTGACCACAGTGGTGCCTGTGGATGGCTCGTCTGGACTCAATTACCCAAGTCACTACAAGCGTTTTGTCATTAAAATGTTTACATTTGTGGATCAAAACACCTTCACTCCTCAGAAAGAGACGGTACAGTTCATTATTCCCTTCAGTGACTATCTTATTGTAGTTTCTTTGACCAAATTTGCAACTTTCAAACTCTCTTCAGGTGTTCATCCACTGTGCTACAGCAGTGTGTTATCCCAGCAACACAAACTCTTGTGAACAGCAATGCCACAGGCAACGTGAGTAGATCCTTAACTGTAAAATATTAATGCAACTGTCAATCATTAAAAATGTAGTCTTGTGGGGCACCCGGATAGCTCAGTTGGCAGAGCTGGCGTCCCATGTACCGAGGCTGAGTCCTTGCTGCAGCGGCCCAGGGTTTGAATCCGACCTGTGTCCAAAAAAATACTTAAATAAAAAGTTGTCTTGGTTTAATGCTGAAATGCAATGAGACATCCATGTTTAATCAATGTCATGAAATTCAGTTTTCTGCTATAAACTTGATAAGCCATGACAGGCCTCTAAATTGTTGGTGCCTCAATCGCTGACCTTCATTACCTTGACATAAATGCAAATTTGGAAATTCAGAGGCTTAAAAAAAGATCAGGAATCTGCAGACAACACCCCCTCCCCATTTGGCATTTAAAAAAATTGTCAAATCTAAAATGACAGGTGCACTTTTCATCCTTCTCTTGCAGGAAGAGCTGTAGCTGCAGCGAGAAAAGCTTCCTCAAGTCAGAGGGCTCTAATCTCAAGCGGTGAGGTGATCCTGATTCTGGCCGAGGGCTCATCTGCTTCCAACACCAAATTGAAGAGATGACAACTGACTGGCAGCCATATCTGGCCGTGACTTTTAATAAAAGCTTGTTAAAAGCTCATGCTCACAACCTGGGTCTTGTCTGAATTGCTATTTGAAGGTCACATTTTTTTTTTTTTCTTTTTGCTGAGGTAGCCTGTGCAGTGGCATTGTAGTCGGGCAAGTAATGCAACCCCTCTTCCTGATTTGTGCTGAGAAATCACAAGGTTGCATTACAAATGGATACTTAACCGAAGATGTACAATGAACAGTAAGACAAATATTATCAACTGAAAATTAAAGTGGAATGTTCTTGACTAGTAACCAGTTTTACAGTACTGGTGGTCTGAACATGATTCAAACCTTATTTCTTTCTAGCATACAACATTAAGATGAGCATCACGACTCCTCCAGGCTCACTGCTCTTCTACCCCTCTCATTCTTTATTTTTTTGATAACAGTCCCTCAAGGTTTTTCTCTGTATGCTACAACTTGCAACATCTCTCCTCCACTGCTCTGCACACCGCCTCCCCTTTTGTCCCACTCTAACTCATCCACCCCCTCCTCCCCTCATTGAGATGGGCATCACGACTCCGCCAGACTCGCTCTTTCTGCCCGCATGAACAGGAGGTGCAGAGGGAAAGCAGAGCAGCCGTATAGGTTCAGTCTGACTGACGAGCAAAGGGAGAACCATGCTGTCAAGGATGCTCATCTCCCTCGTCAACTGCCAACCTGCTGGGAAGCATTTAAGCAAGATGCAAGCTATACATCACATTCAGACAGCAGCCTTGTCTATGAGCCACACTGCAAAATCCTACAGGAATTGGCCAAAAGGTGCCAGCTGACAAACATTAACAGCTGCTGTGTGGACATGCATAAACATGTCAAAAGGAGTGAAATGTAAACAAGTTTTGCCACTGGTTAAAAAAATGCTGTCAATTAAACCAAATTGGTGGATGCAGATCAGGCAGTTTGCATGTGTGTGTGGCATAGTAAATATTGGAAATAATTATAGCAACTGAGAGTGAAAACTGATACTATTCAGTCAGAACTGGCTTCAATCTCCTTTGTCCTAAATCCCGAACAGGTCTTTCATTCTTAATATATAACATTACAAATTCTAATATTGACCATTTATGCCTTCAAGCTGCAGTCTCTCTGCATTTCTTTAGAGCTATCCATTGAAATGGATTCTGTTTGCTCTCAAAGCTGCAATGAAAAACAGAAAATTAAGTATTAAAGCTTTGTGGGGCTTTTGAGGCAAAGACAACACATCCTTCACACCACAGTGATAAGCATTATTTCTAAAACTAAGTAAGGCAATCACGTGCAGCAATGTCATTTTGTAATTTCTAGTAATTATGTATTGTATTTTTTAAAGACTCTTTTTGGCACTTTTTTGGGAGTTGGCAGGAAACAAGGGGAAAGAGAGCATGCCAGAAAGAGATCCCCTGCCAGAACCAGACCAGGGATGGTGTGCTTATGTCACCATTAGGCCACAAACTACAGATGGAAAATAATCAGTTTGTTCAGTTCATTCATATTCCTAGTCATTGACATAATTCATTCCCTTTATCTAAGCTATACGGCCACATTACTGTTCAAATGTACTTCGATATGTACATCAGTAAGGGAAAGCACCACCGCTCATACCGCGTCATTCTGTGCTGATTCAGACTTTAGTTGCAACAGAGTTATCACATTGTTTAGCACATTGTTTCTGTGCTGTTTGCAGCCATATAGTAACCTTTGCACACTCTTTAAGTCACCCAGTATTTTTAATTTAAGACTATAACAGTGATGGTCACACACAGAATCTGAAAGCAAAATGACTACAGTTTAGAGGGCAGTGGCACATCGTGTTCATCATTAAGCCTGGGTTAGTATTTCCTAAATTAAGTGACCCACATCTGTCACCTTCTACAAATCTTGACCAGTGACGTAATGCGTGGAGAAAAGTGACAGACACTGTCGGGTTTCCCAGTTGGTAACTGGTCTACATTATCATCACTACACTTGGAAATTAAAAATCTATTCACAGCTATACTGAATTACAACTTTCTTACTGAATCTTGTGCATTGGCGAGCAAACTGTCATGCACCCACGCATACAGTATAGACGCACACAAACCCACCACCAGCACCAGACAAACACCCACTATCAGTACAAGCGGTTGCAGCCTGTTTCTTTCTTTGGTCTGTATGAAAGCAAACACTGGCCATCTGGAGCACGGCCCCCTGGGAGAGCAGCAGGTGGGACCCTGTGGGTTAAATGAGCTGTTATCTGTAACCAGTTTACCTCCCACATGACTAACTTCTGTATCTACATTAGTCAGTTTACCTCCCACATCACAACCCTCTACACCAGTTCAACTCCTGCCTCCCACAGGTTGCTATTGACTGGTTTTTCATAGAAAGCAGAGCCTACAGGGAGTAGTGTTACAGTTCGGGGGAAGAAACTGTGTTTACCGCAAATAAATTGGTGGCAAAAACTGAAAGATAATCTAACATTCTTCTAATTCAATTGGACAACCAGCATCCTGGAGCCATAAAATTTAGACAAAAAGGAAAGGAAGCTTGAGTGGAGTGGAGTAAGTGGTGAGCAAGCAGCAGCTATCATGGCTGACTGTGATAGGCTGAGTCACCTGTAAAATCATAATTGTCATCCTTAATGTCTCCTTATTTGAACAATAATGTTCATAGTTGCTACCTAAGACGAATAAGAAGTAAAATGAACTATTAAGACCCAAAGTTCTTGTAGAAAAAAAATACTGACTTTGCATCTGGTAAGAAACTGCAGCCTGAGACTCCTTCATACTTTGTTCAGTCGAGATATTCTGGGAATACGAGGCAATGAACCATCTCTACTAAGATAGCAGAAAAATATGCATAAATATTGTGAATCCAGTCAGTAGTGCCTACAGTACAAACGTCTTCTATTATCTCACCAAATAATATTCCCCCACATTACTTGTACATGGTTGATGGTTGATTACCTTCAGCTTTTATCCCAGTTCTTTCACAATTAACAGGCAGTCTTCCATTGTTAAACATCTACTCGGCAAACTGGAACCTGTTATGAACACTTCAATACTTATGTCAATACTGCCATTGATAATGTAGGAGCACAATATAAAGATACTGTATAAGACAATTTCACAGATTTTGACATACCATCTATACTGTGGCTGCTATCAGATTTTCACTATATGATTATCGCGGCCAAAAGAACTCACAATATTGATATTATCTCAATATCTATAGAGAATTTGAAAAAGAAAATGCTGTAAGTCTGTCTGCCTGCCCGAGCGGTCAAGGAGGCAAATGGGGAGAAGCACTAGTCCCAGGTGTCATTTCAATACAACTAGATATCTAGTAATGGCGACCTGTCGTTACAAAGTCATCTTTAACTTTTATTGTTGGTTTTTCTTTTTTTGGAAAATGAATTACAGAGAGAGTCTGTAACTGTACAGAAAAAAGTGTACAAAAAGAACAATTACACTGAGTGTGAACCACAAAGTGAGAATGGAAAGAAAGAAACTGCGCTTTTTATCGTATTTACACGATATTATCACGTGCATTATTAACATGATAACAGGTAACATTAACAGGTCAATATTTAATGTTTAAAATATCACTGTTATCATCAGAAATGGTTTATCGTGACATCCCTAGGCACACTAGAGATGCTACAAGCTATATCTAATAAGAAACTGCAGTACAGAAATGCTGAACTAGGTTTGAGGTAATTTAGTGTCACCAGGAAGCGCTGATACTTTACAACTATAAGACGTCCCACTCAGTATGTATCACGTATCAAATCTAATTGATCTGCAACAAGATTAACAAGATTGTTTGCTCATCTTATATCTGAGGGCAGGTTGTCCACTAACTGCAGTGTTAGCGGTTCGATTGTGTCGAAGTGTCCTTGAGAAAGAACCCCAGGTTGCTCCCCTTAAATTTTAATTTAATTTATGTAAAATACTGAAAGGCCTCGATTATTCTTCTTTAAAAACCAGTACTAGTACTATTGACCAATATGTACGTTCCCAAATATCAGTCAGTATCCGCCTCAGAAATCCAGTATTGTGTGAGCAGTATTGCCCACATCACACTCATAACTACCAGTATTCACAGGTTCACCTAACAGACTGAAAACCTACCAGTAAAATGGAGAGAGCACCACATGTCCACCAACTCTGTACTGCGCAAGACCACCCCCCCACTTTACTGCTGCACCACTCTCTCTGCCACCTTTCAGGCCATGTGCAAGCCTTGCACAACAGATGAGATAAAAAGTTCTTTGTTATTCAGCAATTCCCACGGCACTGCAGGATAATGTATTCATTGTGAGGCAACAGGAAGGACAAATATTTGACACTCTAATGATGAAGGCTTCAACATCTAAAACTTTCATCCTTGCTGCTTTTTTATTAATACATATTCATAAAACAATTTTAATCTCTTCTTTTTTGCAGCATGTGAGAGTGAAAGGACCCATCTCTGCGGAGAGAGAAAGATGGATGTTTTATACCCTTAAACTCCTCTGTACTGTTGCGGCAGTGTGATTACTTAAACGCTTGCTGAGTGTGTATTGATGAAACCAGGGGAATAACAGGACTAAAGCACTCGGGCTAAACTGAGCCCTGAACCCTCCAAGGACGAGATTGAAAATTGAATTAGAGGAGGAAGTGACAAATTTGACTCATCCCGCTGTCTACATTTACATTAATATAGGTAGCGGAGGCTGCTTTTAGAAGAGTTACTCATAAGTGAGAGCTCACACACACACACACACACACACACACACACACACACACACGCGCACACACACACACATACAGTGTACACACACACACAGAACACACCAGACAGAATAAACATTAAAAACCTTGATTGTTGTCGAGCAAACCTGTGCACGCGTGGAAGCCCCAGACAAGGCAAAATTTGCACCAACACCACACACACACACACCTGAAATTTCATTAGTACTGTTAGACGCAACACGAAGGATATCGGGAGGTTGGAAGGGAGGAGGGATTCAGAGAAAACTGAAGGACAAAGCTGTCAGAATAAACTTTTTGGGGCCCA